GCACCAAGAGCTTGTAACACTCCAAAGAGAAAGGAAAAATTGAAATCGCATCATATGACCCCTTTAAGAGAAAACGCTTCCAGTATTAAGCTGTCAAGTTAAATTTAATTGCATGTAATTTCTTGTAACTTTAATCTTTTATAGTATAGTGAGAAACTATAACACAGCAGTTCTCTGTAACATGTGTCTCATAAGAGAACGGCTTCTGTTAAAACTGGTAGTTTGAGGGAAGCAGAAAGGGTCCCCTGTACAGTGTCAGTCATTCACAAACTACCCTGTGTTGGCCTCTTCCCAATCCACGGTAAGTCAGTTGGGGTTGTGAGAGACAACCGCTAGTCATTCCAGAGCAGTAACTATAGACATTGAATATTCCTACTCTGGGACAAGTGTTTTCTTACACAGCTAAGGCAACGTTTGTCCTAGAGCATGTTAACTTAATCACCACATACTCTAGTTCTCTCTCTTTTACTCTCTCTCTCCCCTGTATTTTTGCTGTCACCATTGTATGGTGCTGATAATCATTCTCTTTGTCTTTTGCCGGCGAGGCTGTTCTGTCCCTCATTGCGTGCCTCTGATCCCGCAGCAAACTTTGTGCTGCCCGAAGTCGGCGAGTTCCTGGACGGGGTGACATTCGTAGAGCTTCAGCGGGAAGAGGCAGACACTCTCATCAAGCAGTACAACGAAGAAGGCCGTAAAGCTGGCCCTCCCCCGGAGAAGCGCTTTGATAACCGCCAGGGTGGTTTCCGCGGCCGTAGTAACTTCCAGCGCTATGACAATCGTGGTGGACCTCAGGGTGGTAGAGGTGGATACCAGAACCGGGGCGGCTCTGGAGGTGGAGGCTACCGAGGAGGTAAGAGTCCTAAATTTGCTAGTTTTGTGCGTTTTCAAGTTTGGGGGCAGTAAATTATTATTATTAGTAGTAGTAGTATTAATATATTTAGCTGTTTATTTATTTAGCTAAGACACATTAAAAAGTGACAGTAAAGACATTTATAATGTTAAAAGATAAATAAATTAATTAATAACAAATAAATAGGCTATTTATTTCAAATTAATGCTGTTCTTTTGAACTTTCTATTCATGTAGGAGTCCTGGGGGGGGGGGAAAGCCCTACTTTCATGTCACATTGTGGACTTGCTTTCTCATTTCATACAAACACAACTGTCGCCATTTTGCATATCAGTTATGGATTGTACAGAAAATGATCTCAGAGTATTTGGTATTAATATAACTGCAGTATTGTTGCAGTGTTTGTATAGGCCGATTTATTTTAAACATTATAATGGTCTATTGTTTGTTTGTTTTTTGGTTTTTTTTGTGAAAGCTTTAAGACAATATTCAGGTTAAATTATAAAGTAATTCCAACTCAATATTTCATGTCCACATATTTGTATATGGTAAGTAGCCGTGTAATAATCGGGATAATGTGCAGTCAGGGATTTGTCAGCCAGCAAAGAAACCCCTTCAGTGTGTTAGGTTATTTTGATCACCCTGTCTGGGTTTATTTTGCAATTAATGATCAGCTTATACATCTATTCCATATTTCTTGTTCTACGTTGGTGGTTAGATTCTGCCTACAAGTTGTTGATAATCACTCAACTAATTCATTAGGATACAACCGTGGAGGCTACAACCAGAATCGCTGGGGAAATAATTACAGGGATGGAGGCTCAGGAGGCCGTGGTGGATACAACCGCACCCAGCAGTCTGGAGGAGGCAGTTACAACCACAACCGCCAGGGCTCCTACAACAAGAGTGGCTCTGGATCAACTGGAAGCTACAGCCAATCACAGGTATTAAGACTGGGCTTACATTATCCAACGATCAGCTTGTGAAACCAACAGGACTTGAAATCATTGCTTACATTTTATTTTATTATTTTTTTCTAGCCTCAGGCTTACAATCAAGGCTACAACCAAGGCTACAACCAGAGCAACTACAACCAAGGGTACAACTATGGCAACTACAGTCAATACCCAGGATACAACCAGAGCTACAGTCAAACTCCCGCTCCCACAGGACAGACCTACAACGAGCAGCAGCAGAGCTACAATCAACAGTACCAGCAGGTGAGGAAACTGAATACAGTCACCAGGGTCTGAAATCAACTTCTCCATTAAGGGGCAATATTAGCTTAACTTGATTAAATTATTTGTTTGATCTTTTATGTCAAATATTTCAATTTAACCCATTACTTCAATCATTTAGAATACATCAAACAAAAGCTGTCTTTATACTGCACAGGTAGAACAGAAGCTGCATCTTGCATTGCATTTAGGTTTATTTACACAGACTGTTTAATGCTGGCATACATATATACATTTAAAACCGGAACTCTGAGGGTAGGGCTGCAATTTTATGACAAAAGTCATCATATTGCAGATTATTGCTTTTGCTAATAAAGATTAAAAATTATTATTGTTGATGGCATGTGATAATCTGGCTACACTGACAAAACAAGCTAAGAACCTTTATGAATTAGTTTGTTTTTTATGCATTAGAAAATTAAGACTTTATGTTTGTATTTTAGTAAATGGTTATTCAAACTGGGAATACATTATATACAAGCAAAGAACATCTAAACACCTCTGATTGGCCACTGCATTTATAAACTACAGAAACGTGTGTGATTGGTTATAATGGTCAATGCTGCAAAAAAATACCTAAAACGAAATCTGATGCAATGTAAGCAGATTTAGATATAATGCCACAGTTATGTTTAATCATGACAGCTGTGATAGATTTAGTTTAGTAATTTTACAGTGGCATTTTTGTCCCCTTATCTTGAATGCATGTGCATGTATTGCATGTATTTTTATACTTGTACCTTACTTCCCCCAGTATGCTCAGCAGTGGCAACAGTACTACCAGAACCAGAGCCAGTGGAACCAGTACTATAACCAATACGGCAATTACGGCAACTACAACCAGCAGGGCACCCAAGGCAGCCAGGGCACCCAGGGAACACAGTAGTAGCATCGCAGGTGTTTCAGACAGCCCATTCCCTAAACAGCATTCCTCATGCCTTTTTTTGTGTTACCCAGTCTTACCCTTTTTTGCCTGCTCTCTGTAAATGTTTATTCGCTCCCTATTTATACCACCCTTAAAGATAACCACATTTGTGTGGCCCTCCATTGCTCTGTTTGAGTTTTGGTGACAAGTATCCCTTTTTTGCTCTTCTACTAAAGTTTTGTTTACATACAGCTTGATCTTTTTTTCATGTGTACTTGTAGATGAGAGGTTCGACATTTGAATTTAGTAATGTGTGGTTTAGTCCACTGCAAACAGCTCACACACTATGATGTGGAGAAAAAGGAGAAAATTTATTGAGAAAGCTTTGCACGCTTCGATTTACATCTGATGTATAGAGCGAGAGAGAGGCAAGGTGTTTCTTTGTTCCATTAGTTTTACCACTGATTTTATTTTTTTTATCTTGTAAGATTAAAGAACCACATTTTGCGGTAGATGGTTATGGGTATTGTTCTGTATATAATCATATGCCTGTATGTACACATCGATGTAAGACCATGTAACACTTTTGTCCAGGTACATCATATTGGACATTTTAATAACCTAAATCTTGAATAACAATTTTCTGATGTCTCAAGCCTGTGAAGGTTAGCATTTTCCTTTTTATATAGCATTTTTAAAATACTCTGATTGGTCTGATGCACATCTATTCCCATATTGCAGATTAGTAATGATCCAAACTAGTTCCTTGTGTGGATATGTTATTACCTTGTGTCTTGTCTGTAAAGCAGTATCTGCATATGGTTTTGTGTCAAATCAAAACACAATATTTTGTATTTGAGAATATAATCAGAAGAAACATCCTGTGTTCTTGTCTAAATTAATAACATGTGAAACCTGAAACAACATGTGAGCACAGTAACTGCAAATATTGCAACTTAAACTTGTCACTGGGGTAGTATGATAAATTACCTTTAAGATCTTTATTATATATCTCAGTTATAAATTATGCTTGTGAAAATATAAATTAATTGTGCATAGTTACAATATGTAAAATGCTAGCTATGAAGTTGAGATAAAAAGTCAACTATTTTATTCCAGAAATGTTTAAATCTTATTTCCACCACATAATGCTAACAAGACATTATATTTTTCAAATCACAGTATTCTACTTTGATGCATGTGTTTCAACATATGGACAGGGTTAGTATACACATTTACAAGGAAGACTTTAACAGGTTTTTTAAGTCAAGAGCTAAAACACTCATAGGTCGAGTCAGATTATTATGGGCCAATCATCCAGTCATACTTATTTGTTAATTCAGGTATCCTTTATCATTTAATATGCAAAAAAATGTGTTGATACAAAATGTTTTACTACCCCAACATTTAAATGGATAGTTCGTCCAAAACTAAAAATTGTCATCTATTACTCACCTTCATGTCGTTCCAAACCCACAAGTCTTTCGTTCATCTTTGAAGCAATTAATGATATTTCTGTCCCTCCATTGAAAGTTCATGCCACCAAAAATACATGCAGAACAAACCTTGTTGGTTTTCAAATGTCAAGCACGTTTGAGCTTCTGTTTACCATATTTTATATGCTTTATTTATGTGCGATTATCAATATTTATGTAAATAAAAGCCTAAATTGAATCTGTTCATCACATAAAGTGATCATGTCTCTTCAGAAGACTTGGATTTAATCGCTAAATTAATAGATTTCTTTTACAATGTCTTTATGAACTTTGAAATGGACTTTCAGTGGAGGCAAAGAAATCTCATGTTTCATTAAAAATATCTTCATTTGTGTTTTGAAGATGATTGAATGTCTAATAGGTTTGGAACAGCATGAGGGTGGTTAAATTATGATAGAAGTTTCATTTTTGTGTGAACTAGCCCTTGAATATGTCAGAAGTCCACCTATAGACCTTAGCCAGGGTAATGCCATATTTATTTTTTGACAGGAATGAAAAAAAAATAGCGTTAAAATCAGGGTAGAAAATGGCATTTTATTCCTAAATTATAATTATTATAAACCTCAGGAAACAAAATAAAAATGGCCCCATTAAGATAGGACAGCCATTGCTAATGAATTAATCTCAATTAACAATTTATTTAGGTTAATTTAAAAAAACATGACAAGTGTGGGTGTATATAGGTTTGGATATACTGGCTTGTGAAAGACTAGTGAGATGGACCTCGCTAGTAAAATAATAAGCCTCATTCAAAATAAGGCTCATAAATTTGCTAATTTATTCACTCTCATGCCGTCCTAGATGTATATTACTTTCTTTATGCAGATGAACACAAACAGATTTTTAGAAAAATAATCCATCTTTGTGAGTCCATGTAATGAAAGTGTGAAATTAGAATGATTTCTGACGGGTCATGTAACACTGAAGACTGGAGTAATGGCTGCTGAAAATTCAGCTTTGCTATAACAGGAATAAATTTCATTTTAAACTATATAAAAATAGAAAACAGTTCTTTTAAAATGAAATAATATTTCACAGTATTACTGTTTTTTTACTAAGCAGTAAAAACAGTAAAAGTGCAATTATTCCAAACATTTGCCTGTCCGTTCAATTTCGTGAGAGCTAAAAAAATAAAATTCCATCTGAAAGTTGTGGCTTGTGGTCAGTGGTGGTCTTTTTCAAACTGATTTCATATCTAGAGAAATTAGTATTATAGTAATTAAATATTTGCTTAGTTATCACCAAAGCTCTATTATTTTTTTGATCCTCAGATAATGCTGCCTCAGAAGCCTGTCTGAAATCAGTTTCAGGTGGTAGGCTACCTTTGAGCGCAAACGCTACCTACAACGTTACTGGCAGCAAGGCAACTAGTCAACTGCCTAATCTTTCTGTCACTTCTGAAATCACACACTCTCTGAGTTGCACACTTATTTTGATTAAGTAATTACTTGTAACCATTAGAAAGTATGTTCTATAAAGTATACATTTAATCCACACATACTACTTTGGCCATGTTTTTTTATTTTTTATTTATCTTTTATTTTACCAGGGTAGTTCCATTGAGATGCAAATCTCTTCTTCCAGGGAGTCCTGGCCAAAATGGCAGCACAAAAGTTTCACAATAAAACAATTACAAACACGTAAAACAAACAAAATGTTGCCCTACATTCAGATTATTACAAATATGTGACAAAAACAACAACAACAACAAGAATTTACTCATAGCAAGTACATGTTTCCTTTAGAGTAGACCATAAAAGGTTTTTTAAAAAATGTAAAGATGGGAGTGTTTCCAGCATAATAACATTGTTGTCATTGCCATGTGACCTGTGTCAGTAGTGTCGCTTCACTGTCATTCGCAAATTGTTTACTGGGTGCACACTTCAAAATCTCGCCCGTTGTAGTAGGTCATACGGGAACTTTTTCACCTACTGTTTATGAATGTGAAGTCAGATATACTTTTCTTTTCACATACTGTTTTTTACTTACTATATTGTAGGGAAGTATGCAGTTTTGAATGCTGCCTACTTTTATTAGATCAAGCAGCAATGGATCAAACCATTTAGAATTGTTTGGAGGGGAATACTGACTGATTGACAGCATACTCATTGAGCAAATATACTTAAACCTTTTTTTCTTTCTTTTTTCATTTTAACTGATGGCTCATTTTATCTGGCATTATCATTTTGGGAAAGGGGGCACTTGTTAAGAAGGCTGCTGAGACCCACTGTTTTCAAGCCCACTCTAGCGGTGTAGCCTAAGTCACTAAACTAGTCACTCAACTCTTCCTACTAGTGATGGGAAGTTCGGCTCTTTTGGCTCGGCTCCCTTAGAAGAGCCGGCTCTTACGGCTCCCAAATGGCTCTTTATTTAGTTCTATTTTAGCCCAATTTAGCAATTGTGAATGGTTTGTTTGTTGGTAAGCTATTTTTTATTCAGTGTTTTCATAAAAGCCTTATTTTTATGCTTTTTTTTTTCGTAAATAAAAAATTGCTTACCAACACACAAACCATTCACAATTGCTAAACTGGCCTAAAATAGAAGGCTCCGGCTGAAGATTCGGCTCTACCCGACGGGAGTCGGCTCTTCTCGTTCGCTACAAAGAATCGGCTCGTTCGCGAACGACACATCACTACTTCCTACATTTGTAGTGTTTACAGGTGTAATCTCACCTGTCCTGAGCTGAAGAAGCTTCAAACACGTTTGATAACACTTCTCCAAAACGTCCTGCTCCGTTGGTATTTTCATGATTTGATGTTTACTGAAGATGGACACAAAATGAGGTGGGTTTTTGTTGTTAATGTTGAATTAAATGCTTTGGGAATGATATGCACCATGGAAACAAGCACATACACAAGGCACCGGTGAAAAACAATTGTTAAACCTGTTTTTCAGACAATCTGACATTTACACACTGAAATTATTTCCCATGGTGCAGTTATGAATGTGTTTTTCTTTCTTTCTTTTTCTTTCTTTCTTTTTCTTTTTTTTTATCTTATAACGTTAAGTGATTACACAAGCTTCCATATGTTCTCGGTCTTTATTTCTGCATAGGCATGTTAATTCTGAATGCGGATTCATTTCAAATAGAATAGCAACATAATGGGCCCTATCATACACCCGGCGGCGACGCCAGGCGCGACGCAATTGTTTTTTGTTAGTTCAGCCAGACGTTATTTTCACGCCCAGCGCCACGTTGTTTAAATAGCTAAATCATTTGCGCCCATTTGTGCACCCATGGGCGTGGTGGTCTGAAAACAAGGTGTGTTCAGGTGCATTACTGGCACGTTGCTATTTTGAGGCAACTGAAAATGATTGCGCCATTGACCAACTGAAACCTGGTCTACCTGGTCATCTTCGGAACACAAATTAAGATATTTTTGATGAATTCTGAGAGCTGACCCTCCCATACGTTTACATTTACGTGCTACGTTTCTGGACCTTGATCGTGGTAATTACATTGCTGTCTATGGGAGGGTCAGAGAGCTCTTAGAATTAAACAAAAATATCTTTATTTGTGTTCCGAAGATGAACGGAGGTCTTACGGGTTTAGAACGACATGAGGGTGAGTTTTAGAGTGGCGTAACTATGATGTCACTTTGTAGGCAAAAACCCGGAAGCGAGTTAGCATTTTAGCACTTCCGGTTCCATCGTCCCAGAGTCAATGGGTTTTTTGAATGGGAGTTTGGTTAAATCCCCTAAAATAAGGTCCGTGGTTCACACAAGCTCAAGATACTTTCACGTTTTATTCTACAACATAAAACACACCAGTTACACCCTACTCGTGATTTTTTTTAAACCGTTACATTTCTTAAAAAAGACGGTTGCTAACAAGTTGCTAAATGGGACTACACTACAGGTGCTGTCAGAGACATTAAACATCATCAAGCCGAACAGTTTATCATTTTACAGTATTTTCCAATCGTAGTGTATAATTTATAGTTACAATTGTAGAACAACCAATTAATAGTTAACCCGCATTTTATATTGTTGTTCGACCATGTTTTTTGGCTTTGCCCCGAAATGCAACACAAGTCTTCAAATGGAAGTCCTGCTGATGCGGAGACTCTGGGTTTGTACCATATAAACTCATATGATTATTCCATGTAAACACCACATTTACTGGCTTAGTCGCAGTGAAAGTGAAACTTTAACGATGCATAGTGCTTAAAGCCACGTAATAAAATAGAACTATGATTGAACACAGCTTATTTTTGGCGATAATCCAAAAGCCTATGGAAAAATCCCATTGGCTTTTTGTCGAGGGAACCAGTGCGATGCTAACAACCGATCCGCCTACAAAGTGAAGTCATAGTTCCCCCACTCTATTAATGACAGAATTTTCATTTTTGGGTGAACTATCCCTTTAAGATTCTCTACTGT